AAAATAAAATAAAATAAAATAAAATAAAATAAAATAAAATAAAATAATAATAAAATAAAATAAAATAAAATAAATAAAATAAAATAAAATAAAAAAATAAAAATAAAATAAATAAAATAAATAAAATAAAATAAATAGCTAGCTAGCCCAGGACAGTCAAATCTACCAATGGTTTCTTGGAAAGGAAGCAAACCATTGCCTGCTTAAGTGTTGACGGGAACAATAATCTGTGAAAGAAAAATTAATCATTGCCACAATCCAATTGCATATCAACTCCTAGGAAGCCATAACCAACTAAGAGCGAAATGGTTATAATGTACAGGTAAATGAGGAATCCTGTAGCCTTCATCAGGTTAGGTAAGTTTTTTGTAGCCATCAAGCTAAGCAGTGTTGTTTTTTCCCCATTTCTTTGCATTTTACCAACTTTTTAATAAACTTTCTATGCCCTTTCATCTAGGGTATGGAAGAAAAAGTGAAGTTGGACATTTCAACAGGAATGAAAAAAAAACCATGGCTTAGAATTTAGCAGAGCATAAGTGGATGCATTCATGAAAAGAGGGTGGAGTACTTATTTCCTGTTCATATTTTATTAAGGTTCTTGAAAGCAAAGTTGTTCAGAAATATGAAAGACATGTGGTTTTGGTAGATGTGAGGTATATCACCACAAACTCTTGTTTTATCAAGCATGTCATAACAATATAGTATAGTTACAAATGCTGGTGTGTGATAATTTATTTGATAGAGCCACCAAATTTATGCTTGAGAATTGGGTTTACACAGCACATCGAAATAATTGATCTCTTTCAATTGCTCTCATTTCTCCAGATCAGCGTACTATATACACAGTGTATGTGTATCCATAAGTTATGACAAGCAAATTAATATTTAAGGGAAATTGAAAAAAACCCCCGCCTTTTCTATTTTAAATTTTAAAATAGACAGAAAATAAGCAGCAGAAATAATAATTTTATTATTTTATTTGTTGTTTTATTCTGGTAGAATAAAAATAAACATATTTCAGTTATTTTACAAGTATGACTCTCATCATTATTATCGATTTCATGCTTTAGTTTCAGTGAGTGCTTCATTTAACTCTATATGGCTAACCACATTCAGTTATAATGCTTTGTTTACCCATGTTTTCTGGATGTTTAAATTTGTTAATATGTGCTTTTACCTCACACTTATACATATGAACCTCTTTCTTTTTAGTTACTGTGGCTTTGGTAAAGCAAGCATAAATAATTCAGCAAAATGGTCTGATCAGACCTTTTTAAAATGCTAGTTCCATCGAATGATGCAGTTATTTTAATTGGAAGGATCACATTTAAAACAAGGGGTCAGTGTCCTCTACCATAGGAGACATAGTCACCTTACTAAGTGCCTTTATAGAGTCAGCTTATATGTATATATTTTCCTCAAAATTATCTAAAGATCACAAATAATTCTGGCTCTCCAGATATTAAAAAGTCCTTCCCTGCAAAAATAAAAATAAAAATGGGGGGCTTTAAAAAAACACCTTAAAATCTATGTTCTTCCTTCTATCACAGTGGTTTCTCTTAAAAATAACTGCCCTTTACTCCAGGCAAACAGTAGTTTTCACCAATATGCTGAATAAATAATGGCAGCTGTAGTTTTGATAAGATAAAAGTGATTTAGAACCCTAGGTAAGCATGTTCATCACACCTGTCATCTGTTCCTGAAGGAAACTACAACTTTTCTTGGGCTTGTAATCACAGAAAGGCTTGTTTGATTTAAGGATGTCCTGACAAGTGTGATAAGCATCTCCACAAACACTGAAAACAACCCCCTTTGTATCCAGATTGTCCCACAGATTGCTTCAGTGTGAACCATTACTGGGATCCATAAGAGATTTAATCTGTGAGTTAAGGACAAGTTCTTAGTCATTAAAATGTTCTCAGAGTTAACAGAATAAGACCTGCAAGGTATGTACATCTTTTCCAATGGACATAGACATGGATTATCATGTACATATTGCTACTTCATATACAGCGTTTTTCTGCCAATTTCATCTTATTGAGAACTTTGTTTCAGGAACCAGATTTAGACTGGGATCCGGGAATGTGAGGGGAATGTAAGAAGTCTTAAATATTTATTATATGCTGTGGCCCCAGTTCATATTAAGCTCTATGCAATTATAGTTTACATTGCCAGAAGGAGAATCATTTATTAATATTTATGGATCTGTTTTGGGACAATGCAAGTCTCAGGCATGTTGATGATGATTCAGTTGGGACAAAGGATAAAAGACCTCCATGTTGATGCAGAAACCCAGGCTGAATGTAAATGTCTTGTGTGTCTACTCTTGGAACGCTATGTCTACCCCTTATTCTCCTATGCCCATTCACTTTTATCCTAAAATCATTCCATTTTCCAGGAATGGGAAAAGTTGCCAGCAAATGTGGTAAACATTATTTTATATATTTCCATGGACAATATGTTTTCTTGGCATTAGGTGAATTAATAATTGTGACCTGCTGGATGGTTTAATACCAATATGATTGTGAAGAGAGTAAAGTTAAAATGTAAATGTACTCATAAAGTAGATGTGTAAGAGGAAGGGAAGCAATTTATGCCCGTACAAATTGGTCCTCAGTTTACATTCATTCATTTATAAGCAGGGATTACTTATTGGTGAAATTAAGGATTTGTAGGGTTCTTTTGACTATTTTGGCAGAGCCTATTGAAAACAGCAGCGTTTCGCAACTTGTCTTTTTTTTTTTCAGATTTGTTAAGACTGCAACACCCAGAATATACAGTATAATCAGCATGAGTACCATTAGAGGTTTCAGAAATTAAAGTTGCAAAACAAGTGAAGATTGCCAGATAGAAAAATACTGGTAGATAATTTGTGTGCAAGTTCAGTTCAGAACTTACACTGAAAGTTAATTAAGCATCTGCAATTGTATTCTTTGTACTGGGTAGGTCACCTGAACATGAATACAAAATTATTTCAAATGTGATTATTTGAGAGGTATGATTTATCAAAGGAGCTGCTTTTTTTACATAAACAATATACTGAAAATAAAGCTATTTGTTCCAGTGCTAAAGTCTAGATAAGTATTTAAGAAATAAATTATTTCTATTTCTCCTTTTCTTTCCTATAGGTAATGCTTGAAAATAACCTATTGTTTCTTTTACATTGCACAATACCTTTTCAAACACAATACCTTTTCAAACAAACACCCCCCCCCACAGTGTTTATAGATCTCTTTTTGTTGTTACTTCTTTCAGAACCACCCACTCCTATTGCTCCTCCAGAACTTCTAGCAGTTGGAGCCACATACCTATGGATCAAACCAAATGCCAATTCCATCATTGGTGATGGGCCCATCATCTTGAAAGAAGTAGAATACCGTACAACCAATGGGAATTGGGCCGAAACCCACATTGTGGATTCTCCCAATTACAAGTTATGGCATCTTGATCCTGATGTGGAATATGAGATCAGAGTGCTTCTTACCCGTCCTGGGGAAGGGGGAACTGGACCCCCTGGGCCTCCTCTCACAACAAGGACAAAATGTGCTGGTAAGCCACTATCCTTTATGAATTCTGTACAAGACATACAAGTTATTTTGTAACAAGGGATGAAAAGAGATTGATGTCCTGTCTTTGCCTTTCTACTTTTATTCTTTAATTGTCCACTTATTGTCCAGCATAATTTTCCAGTTATTTGGGGAGTAAGGATTTAATTTTGTCTACAATACTGTCAGCTCAGTGGTGGGATTCAAATTTTTTTGCTACTGGTTCTGTGGGCATAGCTTGGTGGGTGTGACAAAGTTAGTTCTCCGAACTACTCAACATTCCTGCTACTGGTTCTCCAGAACTGGTCAGAACCTGCTGAATACCACCTCTGTGTCACCTGTATTATACTTTTTAAGTTCTGGGTAATTCTTTGTACAAAAGCAAAGCAATAATCTAGATGAAGTTTTTTTTTTATTTAGTTCTGTTTATTTTATCTTCCTAAAGCATGTTTTGAAAAAAAGGAAAGAAAAAAAAGAAGTGTGAATTTATTACTCAAAATAGCCTGGACTTTCTGCTTTGTACATAATAAATTAAGTCTTAAGCATTAAGCAATTGCATTTTTAAAAGATTTAATTTTCTCAGTGCAAAATTAATATTAATAAATCCACTTTAATAATATCAGAGTGGAAACATGCATGTTTTTCTCTTTTTAAGTATGCTGACTATTTAACTAAGTAGTGTTTTCTAATTCCTGAGTGAAATCCCTGCTCTCAGTGAGCTGTTTTAGACAACAAAGTGTCTTAAACTCTTTATGATATATTAAAAAGATCAGAGCTTCTAAAGTAGCACATGCGGTTAACAAATAAAAACAAAATTATTTCAATAAGGAAAGATAAAATGGTTATATAGAGTTCTGGTAATCACCCTGCATCTGATGTGGATGAAGCTGATTTTTTTAAAAAATATTTCTAGTTAGTAAAAAGTTTGAGAAATTGAGCATGCCTGAAGGGTGAGAGCCATTACTTGCACTTTGCACAATGATTTTTTAATTATATGAATGAAGAAAGCATTTGTCATTGGCAGCATCTACTATTTTTTCTCTTCCTGACAAAAATGTCAATTCAGTCAAGGTTTAAGTTGTTAAATTACTTGTATATAAAACCCTAAATATCCTTGGACTAGAATACCGCAGTAATCACTTTCTTGTTACAAGGCTGTAGATAGCCATATTTTGGACCACACATTAGTTTATGTGTTGATAGGGATATGGAGGGAATTCCAACCTGCTCACTGCCCTGGCCAAATCAGATTGACAATCAGCATAAAATCTTTAGGATGACTTAGTCCACTCAGATTCATTATGGATGAAGATTTTTTTTCTGGTGGGTACTGAAAAGGAATTGTTTGAGCTCTTTTTGACTTTGGAGCTCAGGAAGTAGATAGTGTGGCTGTCACTTCTTGGCTTAATCCACACACTTCCTGGCTTCCTAAACAGTTTTATAGGGCTGTAACAAACTGGATCTGGGAAGTGTTTAATGCATTATTTTGGAAGGAGTGAGGTCAACTACCTGCCTTCCCTGGAGCCATGTGTTTTTGATATATGTCTCTAAACTTTTATTCCACAAGAAGGCTATTGAAACTGAGCTTAATATATAGCTACAAAGCATTCAAGAGAAAACAGATTGCCTAGTCTCTTTCAAATTAATGTTCAGACTTGGCATGAGATGGAGATGTCCTTGATTGTTTTTGTGGGTGACCTCCATCCACCACAATTTAGAGAAGGATAGTGCCTCATAGTCCTTTTCAACATCTCTACATCCTTTGAAATAACTAACCATGGTACCCTTCCAGGAGCTGGGATTAGAAACATTGTTCTGACCTTCCTCGGTATTTATTTATTTATTTATTTATTTATTTATTTATTTATTTATTTATTTTATTTTATTTTATTTTATTTTATTTTATTTTATTTTATTTTATTTTATTTTATTTTATTTTATTTTATTT